CCTTATTTTTGCGGGAGGACCGAGCAGCGAGGAGCGAGGAGCGATAATGGAGGAGCTATAACCGAGGAACCACCAGACCATCCTTCGATGAAATCCTCAGACACTCGCCCCGCCCCCTTACTGTGTATCGCTCACTGATTGGACGAGGCAGTGCATGCACTGATCTGATGCTTCTTGACATGAGAGCAGTTTCCCAGCGGAGTGAAGAAAATACATGAACCTCACGAGAGTCACTCCTCAGTTTATACCGTGTTTTGTTTCAATTCATGTATCATTTAGTTACAAATATGTGATATATCTGAACAACAAAGTGGTCAAAAATCATTTTATTCATTTTTTGGAAACATTTTCATGATCGCTTTTTTCGTTTTACATTTTCATTTATTGTCATTTCCATTCAGTCAGTCATTACGTGCTATTAAAATGTTAATTTGCTACATATCCAAACAAACAAACAAAGTGTGCAATCCAATGAATGTTAATCTAACTGGGTTTTGATAGATAACATATCTCTTTTTCTTCTCTCAATTTTATTTCTTTTGTGCACTCTAATCAATATTAATCCAACTATTGTTCGTTTATACATTTTAAGAATGGCGTTTATCTTTTTTGAGAATGAGTTCTTATTTAATTTAATTTATTTGGGTCTACAACAGATGATACAAATGTGTGTGTCAGTAAATTTGTACTAACAGAGGCGGGGGTGTTTGTGAAAATAACGGGGACAGAGCTGCTGTCAGACGATCAGCTGTGCAGCGTCATCACAAACGGATGTCGCTTCACGTGATGCTCCGGAGGAAACGCTGCACAGCTGATCGTCTGACAGCAGCTCTGTCCCCGTTATTTCCACACCCCCGCCTCTGTTAGTACACACTTACTGACATAACATTTGTATCATCTGTTGTAGACCCAAATAAATAAAATAAAATAAGAACTAATTCTTAAAAAAGATAAACGCCATTCTTAAAATGTATAAACGAACACTAGTTTGATTAATATTGATTAGAGCGCACAATACAAATAAAATAATTGAGAGAAGAAAAAGAGATATATTATCTATCAAAACCCAGATTAACATTCATTGGATTGCACACTTTGTTTGTTTGTGTGGATATGTAGCAAATTAACATTTTAATAGCACTTAATGACTGACTGAATGGAAATGACAATAAATGAAAATGTAAAACGAAAAAAGCGATCATGAAAATGTTTCCAAAAAATGAATAAAATGATTTTTGACCACTTTGTTGTTCAGATATATCACATATTTGTAACTAAATGATACATTAATTGAAACAAAACACGGTATAAACTGAGGAGTGACTCCCGTGAGGTTCATGTATTTTCTTCACTCCGCTGGGAAACTGCTCTCGAGGATTTCATCGAAGGATGGTCTGGTGGTTCCTCGGTTATAGCTCCTCCATTATCGCTCCTCGCTCCTCCGGCAAAAATAAGGCCATTGGGACGCTACTCAAGATGGCGCAGACAAATCAACTTCCGGTGAGACCGAGACCGAGGAGCGAGGAAATGAAAAATAAGAGAAGTGAGAAGGGACCCATACACAGACATCCACTCGAAGTCAACCATTTTTCTGAAGAATGTGCTGACATGGGGGTTTAAATTGCCATGCCTCTTTTTGGCTTTCGAGCCAGTCTCAGGGTTAATGCCCAGGAAGCACCGGAAAACATTAAACCAAGACAACAATTTCAATTTTACATAAATGTATATGTTGCATAGTTTATTTTAAGGCACATGCAGCGGTGCCCCTTTCAATTTAAATAAAACAGGAGTTACTATCAACACTAATGATAGTTATCTTTTTATATAAGTGATAAAGGTGTAATTTGTCTTGTACAAGGACACAACAGTGGAGTGAGGGAGATGATAAACAAGCACTTTGTGTACAGGCCAAGTCCTGATAAATCGTCTAATCAGCCAAAATAATTAAAATCCACTGTGTGTGTTTCCTAAGGTTGTGCCAAACTTTTAAGTAAAGGATCTAAACATTTCCTAGAGGGATTTAGTGCTTAAACCATAACTTGATTGACAGAGAATTAATTGCCAACCATTCAAAAGAGAGAGTAGGCTATGTGCTATAAGCAAGTCCATAACATTGTTGGTTTGAGCTTTTGAAATATGAAGATTTACTTTTCTCCCAGTTTTAATTTGATTAAAGTAAATTTGTCAGAATCAGAATACCTGTATTAGTCCCACAGAGGGGAAATATACAAATAAGCCTTGGTCTAGCGTAGTGTTAATTTCGTTGACTAAAACTATGACGAAATATGTTCGTCAACTACCTTTTTTCCATGACTAAACACCACAAACCTGACCAGATACTCTCTGCAAAGCTGCTTTCTTAATCATTCAACCTGTGTTTTTCATCAAATAAGGACAAGATAATCTTATTGTGAAATACATTTGACTAAAATGACAAATTATTGGTGTTGGCTAGACTAGTTTGACTGAAATGTTCTATATAATCTGATGACTAAAAAAGACTCAACAGTTTTCATTGACAAAAAGTAGACTAAAATAATTAGTTTTCTTTGACTAAAATAAGACTAAAATGCTCAGACTTTTAGTTGACTAAAACTTGACTAAATAAAAACAGGATGAAGGTGACTAAATATAATTAAAACTAAAAAGGAAATTTAACAAGACTAAAACTAAATAAAAAAATAGCTGACGAAATTAACACAAGTCTAGCGTTAAGACCGTAAACTAGCAGAAAATGGTGATACATCTAGAGAGCAATTTTACCGTAGACTTGTGTAAAATCTGATCAAATGCAGGTTTGAGGCACTTCCATATTGGCTTTGCAGGCCTGGAGGTTGCCGCTTGTTTGCATCCCAGTAACCCGCACATGGCCTGCAACTCACAGTTTAGATGTATGTTTTTACTGTGTAGTAGTGACAAATAATATACAGACAGGCTTTGGTTGTTTTCAGCTCAACAGTCTGTGGTCCTACGTCTGACAACAATATAGCTTTTTATCAGCTAAAAATGTTCTTTGACTGTGAAATAATCTGGTTGTAGACATCTTTGGCTCGCAAATCCAACTCTATTTTCACGCCTGAAGTTGCTAATCTGACTGTAAACAATTAGAAGCGTCATATACAGTATTTAGTTCAAACAGACTGAAAACTCATCTCTTTCGACTCCACTTCGAGCGATAGAACTATTAACAAAGCACTTATATACTAATAAAGGGCTGGCTTATCTAAAGCCAGTTGAGTAGCACTTGAAATGTTTTTGCTCTATGAAGCCTGATGTACTTATATGATTCTGTTTTCTTCAAGTTTGTATTTTGTTGGTCGAACGCACTTATTGTAAGTCGCTTTGGATAAAAGCGTCAGCTAAATGCAATGTAATGTAATGTAATGTAAAAACAGAACCCTAGATATATAGCCCTTTGCTTCCAAAGGCTTATAATTGCAACCTGTTTAACAATATACTGAAAAAAACTGTATACAACATAATGTGTTTTCACATATGGTTCTTGCAATTGTAGAACTATGCTGAGGCTCTTGTTCAAAGACTTTGTGCTAATGTGAATTTTTAAAGACCTTTAAACCTCCCGTATCATATTTCTGAAATGATAAGATAAGAATGTCATAAACAACATTTTGAAGTCTGAAATGTCAGAAATACCAGTATTGGTATAGAAAGTCAAATTAAATGATTAACTGAAAATGATAACATGACATTTGTGATTTTGTTGATTAAAACCGCACACATGATATCTGAAAGCCATAAAATATAAATAGCGGGTCAGACAAAGGCAGTCTCTGCTTCTGTCTGCAGTCTGCCTCTCCGTTCCTGGATAAGTAATGATCATAGCAACAGAGAAGAAGCCTCTCAAATTGGCTGTCTAACAGTCCATCCCCCTGGGAAAGAAGACCATGTTACACAGTCTGAGCAGTCTCTCTATTGATGCGTGGTGTTGGTGTGTTGTAGCAAAGAGACAGCTGCTTGTTGGTGGGGTAATTGTGTAGTCTCTCCGTATATACGGCAGTGACCTCAATTGCTCTATAGTGTGAGTCTGCATTTTATTGCAGCCACTTTCCAATTCCTCATTTGCACAGTTGTCTTTAGGTCAAGTGTGCATGTAGTCATTTTTGTTCTGTCTGACTAGCAGAATCTATTTGGAACAGATAAGGTTTCAACGGGTAGTGTGTAGCCTACCTGCAGACATGATGGCTTTTCAGAGCGAAATAAAGTATCATATGTTGGCTAGAAGGAAAGATTCAATGGGTCCCTCGACCGCCAAACTGAAGATATCTGATTGAAAATGGGTTCTATGGGTAACCAATAGTCTGTCCTTTAGAGGAATTCCAATGTTATTCTAATCCTATACAGTTTTGGACAAAATCATGTTACTTGTTCGTGGTACACACCCAAGTTTTGCAATATTTTGGTGGTATTTAATTGAAATACCAACCCAGTCTCACAAAAAAAACGTGTAATACGTTGGTCCACAACTTGGGACGTAGTATTTCTACAAAAACGCCTCTGAAATGGTAAGATCCCTACGTTTTTTTTTCACCATTCATTTCCAATGGCTGGCGTCTATGTCACGTGATCTTCAAATTTCTCCCTGCAGAAAAAAAAAACATGGCCGACATTCGTTTTATTCTCAGTGGAAAATGGCTATTTTAAGGTTAGTTTGGCCATTAAAATGCGTTTTGATATCATTTGATACGAGAAATATGAGTTGTTATTTCAGATTATGTGTGCAGTGGATGTACATGATCTTTAGTTTGCTAGTTATTACGAAGATTACTTCAGGAAATGGTGTCCATTCAACGTTTTCATTGTTACCAAGGTGGTTGCTAGGGACGCTGCTATCGATATTATGTATGTTATGTTGTGTAACTGTTTAATGGTGTTATCTTTATTGCTACCCCCTTCCCCGTCAATGTATAGTGTTGGTCCACAGCGCTAAAATTGTGGCATAGATACGTTATTTTCCCCTGTGCAATAGCAGGCTACATGCACTAGGGTCTGAGACGTACTTCCGCCTTAGCCGTTATACTGCTCGGACGCTTCCGGGTTGCTTCTGGTCTGCGTAGCTGAGCGTCCACAAATGTTTTACTGTTTAAATCTGTGGTTTAAATATGAGTCGACGGAAGATTTTCAAAACGGAGCATTTGCAAAGACAAGTAAAGAACTACTCCGAGCACTGCTGTGTCCCACTTTGTACGGCGTCAGCTAAATTCAACGGCGTCCTAAGTTTCCATGGCTTTCCGACCGAACTCGAGCTGCGAAGACAGTGGCTGGTTAAAATACGACGCGATAACTTTACAATCTCCTCTCACTCCAATGTCTGCAGTCGTCACTTCGCTACGGATCAACTAATAGAGCCAAAAACCCTTGATGGCCGTAGGAGGCTTGTGAAAGGTGCTGTCCCAACTCTGTTTGAGTGGAATCACTTCACTGCTCAAACACCGCGGGCTAGTGTTTGGGAGAGAAGGGAGCGGCCCACTGAACCAGTCTCTCGGGAGGAGCAGGAAGAGCACATCGATGTCCGTGACCATGATTACTGCTCAACCCCTGAACCAGCTTCACTGGACATGTCCTCTCAAGCTACAGAAGACAACTCCAAAACATTTGAGGATCTGCAGAAGCAACTGCAGGAGTTAAGAGTCCAGCGAGAGTTTTGCTTACAGCTGGCTCCGACGACAACATCCGATTCTATACCAGGTAATGTTTTGGCTAAATTCTATCCAAGTTTTTGAGATGGGTTAGCTTATAAAGAATCCTGTTTACCTGCTGTTTGACTGCTGACTATTTGCATGCAGTGTTGGAATAAGTAGGCTACTCAACTTAACTGAAGTATAAGTACAAATACTATGGTTTGAAAATACTCCTGAACTGAACATGTAGAATCATAAATCATGTGTTTTCATAAGTAACTAGAAACTATGAAGGTTAACTAAATGTGGTGGAGTAAAACATACTAATACTAACAACATACTGATAATACTTTACTACAAGTGGAAATCTTCAAAACCTTACCAAAGTAAAAGTACATGTCAATATCCACTGCGTTTCTCCCAGTTGCACACTTAAGAATGAAGAGTAAAAGTAGTCATTCTGTGTAAAATGTTCCCTGTATGTTTTAGATTATTATTACTGCTGCTTTAATGTAGTTGTTACATGTTACTGCTGTATATTACTATACCTGCACCAAGTGCCTTCTTAATCAGTCTATTTGAATTGTAATGTATTATAGCAAACAAGAGGAAAGCATTAGCCCATGTGTTACAGTTAACGAGTCAATTAATGACTGACATGTGTCTTTTGTGTAGATTCCCGAGCTATAACCACCTGATGGCCTTCTGGTTTTTGATTGAGCCTTCCATTTATAAATGGTTCGTGTTACAAGAGCGATATCAGCTGCCAAGAGGAATGAAGAAGTGGTTACACACGCACGTCCATCAACGGTAGGCTACGTTTCTTTTAACACACAATCTAAACACAAACTGAAGGGAATTTGCTTTTGTGTAGGCTAAAAGGCTATAGTACTCAATCCTTTTTGAATACATCAGAGAACTAAAACAACTTAATGTTTTTCCCATGGTGTGCTACACTCATGACATTAATATAGTACCCTTTTTTTGTTTATCTTCCAGAGACAGCTGCTTCAGCCAATTGACAAGTTCTTCCTTTTTCTCTGCTTCCTGTCGGTGGGTTTGAAAGAGAGGGACCTTGCAAACCGCTTCAACGTACACCAGTCCACTGTGAGCCGCATCATTGCAACATGGACGAGTTTTCTTACAACTTTATTGGGGTCACAGTGCATCTGGCTTACACCTGCAGAAGTTCAAGCCCACCTCCCAGAGGCATTCAAAGATTTCCCAGACACACAGGTGATCCTGGATTGCACAGAGCTGAGGTGTCAAACACCATCCTCACTCCTCCTCCAAAGTGAAATGTATTCTACATACAAATCTCACTGCACCATGAAAGCCCTGGTTGGCATAGCCCCACATGGCGCAGTGACATTTGTTTCCAGTCTGTGGTTCTGTCAGCGACAAGGAGATTTTCAAACAATCTGGAATAGCTGCGTTGTTGACTGAAAACATGGCAGTGATGGTAGATAAGGGCTTCCTGATCAGCGATTGCTGCAAATGCAAGGTGTACTGCCCACTTTTTCTGTCAAAGCAGAAGCAAATGCCAGCCTATCAGGTGAGGGAGACACAGGCCCTTGCCAGACTGAGGGTTCATGTGGAGCTTGTCATTAGGAGGATAAAAGAGAACAAACTTTTTGATGGTGTCATCCTCCTGTCCCATGCCTACAACATCAACCAACTGTTTGCAGTAGCATGTATGCTGTCAAACTATCAGAACAAAGCACTGGTCAAGAAATGGGTGAAATAAGACAAGATGATGACACCTGTGCAGGTAGCTGTGATTAAGCTGGGTGAGCACACCGTAATCCCGTGTTGCCTGACACACGCTAGTATTTTGTTTGAATAAATGGTAAATAGCAAATTACAATGCGTTGATTTCTTACAAATGCACTGATTTACTATTCATTACACAAATCACTTCACTTTATTGTCTTTTTAAATACAATTGTATATTTATTTACATATATGAAATGTGACAAACAATATATATCAAAAACAAAATATTGAAATCACATTTTGTTGTCATTCAGAACACATGATTGAGGGATTGCCTCCTAAAAACAATGACGGCTGAGCCAGGGTCTAGCAGCTAACTGCTTACAGAGTTAACAATGGCTACAGTGCCCACTACTTTTTTAATGACAGGTACTTCGGCATGTATGTGTAAAAAAAAAAAAAAAGTCTACTTTTTCTCTGATTGCTCTTTGCACTTCTGGATCTGTGTATATTCTTTGCACCAGGTAGTCCTCTTGTACCCACACTACAAAATCACACCACTGCATCCCAGATACAAGAAGTTGACCCTGGACATTTTAATTCAACAAGGCCAAATTGGGGATATTCTGTTGGGTCAAAAACAACTCCATCAGGGGAGGCACCAAGCCAGGGCGTAGAGGGGTGAATGACAAGGCCACAAGGGGAGTAGTTCACGTTTGCCAGTCTACTGTATTCAGCTGCTACTGTGGGCTCCATCTCGGCACCTCTCCTAATTTCTGCAGTCTGCCTTGTACCTTTGAGTATTCGCTCTGCAAGAGAGTTAGCAGAGCTCTCACCTCTGACGTGACAAATCTCTCTAAACCTAGAGGCAGTAACCCTGGGTTTGCGGAGCAGATGCCACTCTGAGCTAGAGCTTTGCTCACGGGTAGCCTCCTCAATTTTGTGAGACATTTCCAAATCAACAGATAAGCTGTTCATATGTAGTTGCTCCTCTTCTGAGCACACCGGCGGTAAATCACATGGCAAGATCACATACCCCTCTATGGGCAAGTGGGGTGTTGGTGGTGTATCAGTGTGAAGTGTGGTGTACCGAGACGTCAAAGCAGGCATCTGATAGGACAGAACACTGCCCTCCTGCACAATCCCGAAGGCACTTTCCACAAGGGGCTTGTCAGGTCTCATGTTCATTGTGGTCACAAGCGGCCTGTCTTCAATGCTGAATGCTGAGTATGCCTCCGTAACTCTGAACAGGTAGGGATCTGGTAATGGCCCCACCATGCCTCTGTAGAATCCACTCCTACAAAGAATGGCAAAGACAATATAGCACATTCATGTGACAATAAAGGTTAGGAATACAGCACCAGAATTATGAATTTTAAAAACACAGGAAACACAATTTTCTAGCTAAAATTACCTTACTCCAGTCTGCACCATCCTATTTGGTACAGGCTTGGTGAAGACCATGGAGTTGATGGGCCCTGGCTTCACACCCTTAAGGAAAAGACAATTACTGTTCGTTGAGTCACTTTAAAACAAAAACTCTGTGAAAGATTACAAGTATTTGAACCTCATTGAAATTACCATTGTTCGCGGCTTGTGCCATTACTGTTCCGATTCAGTACAGCTATGCACAGGTGGCACAACTGGCATGTTCAGTTCAGTGTAGTGTGCTGTTTGGAACAGCAATGCTACTGTGTGATTGCACAAAACAGTTCCTGCAACACAGGAGCACTGGTTGTGCGTGAACACCACTGGTGATGAATCACGAAGCGTTATCTAAAAAAGAGAGAAGAAATACTAGTGATTAGTAACCTCACTTGTTACTATGAGCCAGGAGGTTATTATGAATAGAATTATTGGTTATTTTTACTGACCCATTATCCTAGAAGAAGCATGTATTCCTGAATGCTTAGTGTTACCCTCTTACCCTACAATACCACAATGAACTTTCTTTGGAAACTAAGATGCCTTGAAAATTGTATTAAAGCAGTTTTTACTATATATTTGAACCCCCAAACTTACACATCCATAATCAATGTAATAATATCTGACCAATCAGCTGTGATAAAGCAGGGAGAAGTAGGACACTGTTGAGATTCCCTTAAGGTAAACTAATGTTTAACTGAACTGAAACTCAATAAACAGGGGGGAACAGTGTCAATGCTGCCTGCCTACACTCAAACTGTGTGCTGTCTCGCTCTTCCGCATTGACCTGTAGCACAAGGCTCTCACGCTGACCTGCCCTGTCAGCCTGTCTTTATTGGACACTGAATGAAGAAAAACAGAGCAACAGCGTTAGATCTATACTCACGTCAACACATCTATGGCAACATTGCTTTACAAAAGCTGATACCATTATGCAGTGTGGCTAACAACAAGATAACCTTGGCTAGGCTATAAGGCTATTAAACGATAGTATTTGTTAGCAAAATGGCTAATGTTTTAAAGAATTAACACCAGAAACAGTACATAGCGTTACCCAGAGCCCTATAGTAGTCTACTATAGTAGTAGTAGTAGTATAATAATAATAATAATAATAATAATAGTAGTTATACTATAGGGCTCTGGCGTTACCTAGCTTTTGACAGCTAATGTTAGCGTAACCCGGAGCATAAGCTAGCTGGTTAGTACCGGTTACCTTCTTACCTTCATAGTTGTGTATATATGACGCAGCATATAATTTGATGCCTTTATCGAGTTTGCTGGCTGGGGCTTTAGTCGTCCTGCAAATCCGATGAACATCTGACATTTTTAATTTCGGAAGCTCTTGTAGGCAGCGGGTGTAGAAGGTCGTCATTTTCAAACAGGAAATGAATCGGCCGCTATGAGTAGAATGCGGAAGTGACTGTGCATGTAGCCTATTCTCCAACCCAGTCTCACATCTCACATCACATCGTCATAAACAAATACCGGAAACAGACTGAAAACATTTTTAAAAAAATAAATAATACTTTATTCCGAGTGTGCTTGCTTTTCTCTTTGAAAGTCATCACATAACGGCATTGTAATACACGGTTCGGCTGCATTAAATATTACATATCTGCCGTAGTTCTCTATTTATAGAGCCCTGATGAGAAGACTTCTAGACAAACATGAGGAACTGCCGCCAAAACTGAAAACGTGGCCATAGATATATCAGCAATTAAACAACATCTTACATTTCTTTTCACACAATACGTCTCATTGCAGTATCAACACTAATTCGGCTGACTTTTATATTTGATCCAATTGGTAGATAGGCTATATTTACACCATAACGGTGCACAGCTGATATAAAGGGACACCTAGTGGTTAAAGCATGTTATTGAATTTCATTATTTTTATTATTAGATATTAATAGGATCCCTATAAAGTATATTCATTACTCGTTATTCTCTACTAATAGTTAATTAAAGACTGTATATAATGACTAGTTTGCACATCCCTTTCAAGATTTTCTAAGGTTTATTGACATCATATTCACAAACGGTGTAGTTATGCAATGAATAAAAAACTGGGGTCGCATGTTCCTCAACAGTACATTACAAGACATCTATCAATATGTGTGTATACCTCCAGCAATGTTAACTATGTTGAAGCACTTATTTTAACTGATATTATACATATGTATTATACTCTTATAAGATGTATGTAGATAGTAGGCCTATAAGAAATGTGCAGAATATGACAGTTTAATGGTGGAGGTATACAAACATATTGATAGATGTCTTGTAATGCACTGTTGCATCTCCGACCTTGTCAGGTATTGAACAATCAATAAATAAAGAACACAGAATTATTAAATATAAAACACAGAATTTGTGTGATTATACTAAATGATTTACAAATAAACACCACTGCATATTTACAACTGTTACACATGCTGATGTAACGCAAATGTTTCCAACTTGGGATCAATAAAGTATATATGTGACCTGGTCTATCGAAATCAGTCGCATTGACCCGAAGACACATTTTGAGTTGTATACACTGCTGGAAATAGGAGATTCCTAGCTTTCTATTGATATCAGGACTGTTTATGTACTCCAAATATTAAGCGAAATATGTCACATTATATAATGACTGTCACCGAGTCATCATTTTGAGAAAAAGGCCTTCAGAGTTTCCTCTTCTCTGGAATCCATCGATCTGATTGATTATTAGCGGAGCAAATTATCAAAATAATACGGAGGGAATATATTTTCGTTTGGATTACTGGTCTGGGGGAAGCTCGCGAGTGTGTGTACGTGTATACGTGTGTGTGTTTGTGTAATTTTGCGTTTGTGTGTATTGTGTTTGTTTCCCGGGGAAAACCCTCACGAGAAACACCGGCTGTTGTTATGCCTGCTGTGACGTTAAGTTACTCTGTTCTCCGCTTGTAATTATGCCGTTACAAGCTTCAAAGTTGTATTTATCATCTGAATTTGCCGAAACAAGTTTAATATTCTGAAAGCCAAGACTTTGTTTAATTGAAATCAGATGAAAACAAACTGTAACGGACCCTGCCGTGTTATTTATGATTACTATATGCGTACATTCATAATGTCAGCCGGAGGGAGGGGGGGCGGCGCTGCGGAAGAGCAGATTACGAGTGAGAGGTGCCTGTCTTCATCCCTTATCGTGTGATTTTGGAAATAAAAGTTTCATATTCTGAAAGCCAAGACTTTGTTTATTTAAAATCAAACAAAACACCCGAACCCCGAAAAAATA